TTTGCCTCCTTCTTAGCTTCCCGCTTAGCTTCTTTCCTGGCCTCTTTTTTTGCCTCCTTTTTGGACTTTGGCCCGCACTTCCCCGGTACCTCTTCCGCCATTCCTCCCGGTGGGTCCCCATTCAGCTGTTCCATTGGCTGCATAAACCCGTTTGCTGGAGGTCCTTGAGACTCCCTTATGGGTTGCTCTTGCGAGGACTCTGCCTGTCGCTCTGACGTGACTGTCGTTGGTGTCTTGGTCCCCTGTCCTTCGCGCACACATCTTCCATCCGGTGTCCCCTCGGCCGTCCCGTTAACATCGCCGTTCGCATCACCGTGCACATCCCCGTTGACATCCCCGTTGGCCGTTCGCACCCCTGCTGCAGTCGCTTCCGCTCCACTTTTCGTTACCCCTAATGATGCTGCTCCCTTTTTTGGCCTTTTCTTCCCCTCCTTGGTGCCCTCCTTACGCTCCTTTTCTTTTTTCTTGCCCTCCCCCCCCTTGGCACCCTTCTTCATGTCCCTCTTACTAGCCACGCCGCTCTCCTTCTTCACTTTATGCTTCTTGCCCTCTTCACTTCCCTTCACATCTGAAACACGTACACTCCCCCCGCCTTCCTTCTTCTGCACCACATGGCGGGAACTCCCATCCGCCTTGTTGACGCTACTGTTCTTCTCGTCACAGTCCTCCTGCTCCTCCTCCATCCGGGAGAGGCCAGACAGATCATCACGAAGAAGAGGTATGGTGGTAGCTTCATAACTTTCTTTATTGTAGTTGTTCCTTATAATGTCCAATATTTTCAAATCAATATTTTTGCTGGTCTCTTCCATTGACTCCTCGGGGTTGAGGGGGTTCCTAAGGGAAGCCCTGCTCTGTTCTTCATTTGTGAAGTATGCAGGGGCAGTCCTACGATCTCTGCTGCTGCAGCCGTTGCTACATGCATTGCTAAGCGCGTTGCTATGCATGTTGCTATGCATGTTGCTATGCATGTTGCTATGCGTGTTGCTATGCATGTTGCTAAGTGCGTTGCTATGTGTGTTGCTAAGTGCATTGCTAAGCGTGCAGCTGTTCCTATCCTCATTGCCCTCATTAAGATACTCCACATTTACAATACCCAGGTTTTCACTCCTAGTAAGGTAGTGGCCGATGTGACCTTTGGTGAGCTTGCTTCCTTTCTTTTCTCTGGGTGTTTTGCTCTTTGTCTTTTTTTCTTTAATACTTTTTACTTTAGTTTTTGTTTTGTTTTTTATTTGTCCCTTTCCTTTGCTCTGCCTGGTGTTTTTCTTGTCCTCTTTAGGTCCTTCTGCTGTTCCCGTGGGGGGACGGCTTCTACTGTTGCTGCTCCTGCTGTGGACGCTGCGGCTGTTGCTACCGCGGGGGGGGTTGCTCTCCACGAGCGAATTATCATCCATGCGTGAATCATTATCCATGCGGGAGTTACTCTCCACGTGCGACTCATCACCCCCGTGGGTGTCCTCCTCCTTGTCGTCGTCTTCCTCGTCGTCGTTCTCCTCCTCCTCCTCCTCATCATCATGCCTGGGGTAATTTCCCCTGTCGCCATCCCGGTCATTGCCATCATCGCCATCATCGCCGCCGTCCCCACTGCCCACCGTTCCGCTGTCTCCACGGCCACTACCCACAGAAGCGCTCATCGCGTTACTCATCCCAGCACTGGCACCGCTCTCACCACTAACTTGCTGGGGTGGTTCCGCGGCCGCCGCGCGCGTCTCCCACAGGGACAGCAATGCGCTCAGTACAAACTCAACACATTTGAGAACTGCGCAGAGGAAGAACCTCACAAAGGAAGCAAAGTTGAAGGGGTAGTGTGCACGGCTGTTGTCACACTTCCTCTCCCACAAAAGGGGATCCCCACAAAAGGTCTTCCCCTTCAAATTACACCCAAAGTAGGGGTCGATATGTACATGCTGTGTAGTACAAAAGACGGCACACTGCAGTATGTGAATGACCTCATGCGACGTTGAGTTTTGTATAATATTTCCATGCTCATCGTACAGGTACTTTATCTTTGGTGTTATTCTGTTCCTTGGTTTCTTCTCCACTTTGTCTTTAACGGACTTGACTTTGGTGTTGCTCTGTTCTGCGGGGTCCGCTTCACGCTCTCTGTTACACTTGACAGTAATTTCGTTAATCTCCAGTACGACTTGATTGTAAAAGGGTTTCAACCTGAGGGCCTGCACGTTTATCTGTACGATGTAGACAGAGCCATTGGAGGCGCCAATGACCAGTTGGTCTGATGAGCTAGACCAAGTTGCGTCCACTGCACAGGTCTGTTCCTCTAGCAGGCTCTGTATTATTAGGAAGCACTTTGCGTATTTGTTAACTTTTTTTTTTTTTTTTTGACTGACTTTGGGTAGTTTCGAAAAATGCGGCGATGGAGAAGCGGCGCAGTGTAGCGCATGTTGCTGTGCATGTTGCGCGTGCATGTCGCCTTTCTGATGATGCGCCTTGCCCGAGCGCTTAACCCTCTTGAGGAAAATCTTCCACAAAGAAATGACCCCATTATCACTGCACTGGCAATACAAGCTGTACAATTTGTTCTTCCTGTGATTAATGAAAACCTTCTGACCAATCTTAGCAACCCTAATACAGCTCCCATGTCCATCGAGGAACAACCTCTTCCTGTTAATCTCCTCACTGTTATTAATTTTAAGAAGGACACCACAGTTCCTTCCATTATTAGGGATGTGAGTGATGCTGGCAAATTTTCCAAAACTGTCGAAATAAATATGTCGTATTGTTGGGGTATCGAAATTTTTATTTTTCTTGTTCATTTTTTCTTCATATAAACATTCAAAATATTCTCTAGTCATTCCTTGAGGTGGAGAAAACTTTCCTCCTCCCTGTGGTGTTGTACTACTACTACTACCTACAAAGTCGCGCTGTTGAGAGGAGCAAATATCTTTTTCTTCTTTTGTAAAATTCCTTTTGCCTTGTCCAGCATCCCTCATTAACGTATTATTTTGTTCAGGGTAAATATTAATTTTTCTCCACACACATACGATATTGTCACTGCTCTGTGCAATAATGGAGTTGTTAGTTGGGTGAAAGGATACTCCTTTAATATTTTCTCTCGTCCCTTTAATAAAAAGTTTGTGAGAAATGTAAGACTTCTTCAGGTTAAATATGTAAACCATTCCTTTAGACACTCCACACACCACATGTTCATTATCCCTGGACCAGGCCAAGTCAAAAATTTCTCCACTCTCTAGTATTTTTATGTAACTTGTAATTTTCCATTCTTCTTTATTATTGCTGTTGTTCGGAGTGGAGATATTTCCTCCTGATGTATACTTTGTTGTCCCTTCCTTTGTTACACTTTTCATTTCTTCTCCTTGTATTTTTACATGCTTGTTTGAATCAAGTTGGTAGCACACCAACGTCCCCCCACTGTCACAACTAGCCAAATATTGTCCATTGAAACTCCACCTTATCGTGTTGATATAGACCAGATTATGGTCATTGCTAATGAATAGTAACTCAATTTGTATCTTCCTCCTGCAACTTGCATCGTACACAGGGATGCGATATATTTTTATTTGATGCAAACTTGAAATAGCTAGCCGGTTCACACTCGAACACGGCTGGAAGTCCAGACTCGTGATCTTTTCATTTTCAGAGTTCAGATTCAGCTTCTCCGTGTACATTGTTGGGGGGGGGGGGTATAAGCAAACGGAGCAATCCTGGGGGGGGCGGCGATGTAAAATGAGTAGCGGCCACAACAATGGGGGGAACGCTCGTCCTGGCCGCTTCACATTCCCCGCGTGCAGCGATACAGGCGCGTGTCCGCTTCGTCACTCGGTTGCTCCGTCACTTAGCCGCTTCATCCCTCAACCTGCAACACACGAAACAAATAAGGGAAAAAAAAATGCGCCCGGATAAAATATGCAAGCTCAAATATATGCGCAAACGGAAAGGTCAAAATCGTTCAAGTGGGCGCGCCGCAGTTCACTCTTTCACATTTTGCTGGCACAAAAAAAAAAAAAGGGGACGCAGATTTCCAAGCGGGATACTTCTCGCAAATATGTCCTAGCGACATTTCCGCATTCCTTTATACGCCAGTTTTTTTTTTCCCCCATCTTTGCCGTCATACTGTTACCCCGACTGCTTCGTCCGCGCAGGCCGATCAAGGCCGATTGGAACCGCTGCCCCCCCTTTTTTTTTTTTTTTTTTTTTTTGCACGCCCGGCGGGCTCACAACACACTTTCGCATTACCACCTTTTTGTCGGGCTAACGTTGTCACATCGCTACATACACCCAAAGGGGGGAAAAAAAAA